CTCGAGGACAGGGTTCGTAGAGAAGAAAGAAAGCTGGTTTACCTACTTCTATTGGCAGTAAAGTGTGTCGTTGGTGATCTTTGAGTCACTGCAGAGTCAGGCGCTTCAAAGGTTTACGTCTTTCCTGGAAAGCGAAGAGCAAAAAGAGATCGATGTTATTGCTTCAACAGCATGATTATGAATTAAATCTAGTAGGGTATAGATCGGCTGATAATAGTCTTGTCGCTTATACTGGGTTGGCTCTAAATTACTCTGAATCATGGCACTCAGAGACGCGATTGACCATCTCAAAGAATGTTGTCAGCCATCTTCGCGCCGGGGTATTGTTCCTTGAGGCCTTCATCCAGACTCTTTCCGCCTACAGTCATGTCCTTGAAGGCCGGGCAGGCCAGGTTGAGGATGGCAGCGCCAACAGTGTCGGTGACAAGCTTGAGAGGCGCCTCAATGATGGTAAAGATTGTAGACAGCGAGTTTGGAGAGGCGGTCCTGAGAATCTCAAAGACGAAGCACAGCAAATTGTTGCCCTCCAACAGCTTGGTGAGGTTCAGGACACCACCCGTAAGGTCAGCAAGGTTGACTCCCGCAAAGCTGTTGACCTTTCCCATGTTTCCGCCGATGCTGTAGTACGAGACTCGTTAGCATAGTGCTTCTTGATCTTCTAACTTGGAAACTTAGGACACACGTACCTTCCCAACTCGGGGTACTTGGCAACCCAGGCGAGAAGATCCAAGTTCAGCTGGACCAAACCGTAGTCCACCGGCGTACGGTACCAATTTTCTGGAATACGTTCCCAGCCTCTGCTGTACGTGAGATTGCCCTCTTCGCCCTCTACAGCGAAGAAGCTCTTCAGAGTTGCCTTGTCTAAAGGGAATCAGTATGTCGTTTTATTCCTCAACAAAGGCTAACAACTTACTCAAGAGGCCAGTGGGATTCTCCGTGGAGTGGTTCGCAAACAAGCGGCAAGCAAACAAAAAGCCCGCATTTCGAGCAATCATGCCGGTAAAGGGACCGTAGTAGAAATTCGGGTTGGTTGCGATAGTCTCGTTGAAGCGAATCGAGGCTCTTTCAGCAAATAACTCAAAGTTGTAATCACCCTCGCCGGAAGACATGTCGTAGAAAGACTGGAATTGCTCCATGACCATTGTCGAAGCGTCTCCTGTCATGTACAAGTCGGCTCTAGTATTGGATGAATCACCCTCGATGATGTTGTGGGAGCCATTCAGTCCGCGAGGCGTACCAAGGAGACCGATAAGATTGCCGAGGATGTTGTTGGATCCGCTGGCAGCATCTCCAATGGAGAAACCTGGGTTGAGAGAGAGAGGGTTTCCTACGAAAACAGTTCCCATCACTCCCAAAATCGTTGAAAGCTCCAATCCCATGCCAAATACAGTGTTGATAGCGGCCGTGACCTCGACTAAGCTCGTCACGCCCTTGCGGCTGATGTAGCCGTGGTTTGCCAGAGCATTCAACCCTGGGCAGGGACCGCGCTGGGCGCCATTCTTGAAGTCGGGTGCGATGAACTTATGGTCACCGGTAACATCGATAGGTGTCGTTAATGGGTCAAATAGAAGTCTCTTCTCGTGCACCTCATGGAAGGCGCTGGCGATATGTCCGGAGAGCTTGGATGAGAGCTCCTCTCTGAGAGCATCAGCAGCGTATGCGGGGAACCCAAGAACGCCGCTGCCGAAGCAGGGCAGAATAGAAAGAGCGTAATGCAGCTTCATATTGAAGCGGCCAAGTCAAAAAGAGTGTGAGAATCGAATGATATGACGTGGGGTTGAAAGAGTGACGATGGATGACTGACGGTTGCCGGTGGGCTTGTGTCAATGATCTAGAGGTGGAGGATTTGAAATCGGAACATTATTCTTGGCCAGTCCCTTTTACTATGGAAGTTTGACGGGCCGCTGGTTCCGCGACGTGCGGAAACCAAACATTGGGATCAACTCGAGTTGGCCTCATCGCGGGCATCGGAAGACAGCCGGCCAGGAGAAACAACATGGGTGGTCAGGTATCGTAGGCTTGATTGTAGTGGCCCCCAAATCCCACCGGCACTTTCGCCTTCCTCGTCATGATAGGAAAAAGATCTTCTAAGGCTTCTTTGCTGCTAAACATCAAATCTACGGAGTACTCACTGGGAATCTGGTATGAATCTGTTGGAAAGGAGACTCCCATTCCCCAGGGTGATAGTTGGGGTTGCCCGGTTGGTTGTTGTCAAGTAAACTTTACCAGTTTAGCTCGAATGCCACCCTGGCCAGCATGTAACCCTTAAGAAATGAGCAATTGTCATATCGAGGCAGCCCAGGATTGATAACTCGAGCGATCTGCATTCGAATTCCCCGATGGCCCCATTTTTGAACTCTGAGGTCTCCAAAACTTTGACGGACTCTCCGGGAACGCAGTAAACTTCCGTCAACGTCTTCTAGCGCGAGCAACAGCACTTGTGAAGTTGCACAATTTGACTGCCCACTGATCAGCTAGAAGCAACTTAGACTAGAGAAGAGCCCAGGCTTACAGAGTTGCATTGAGGCGCCGAAGGCCACAAATGTGCCGATTCGGGCCCTCACGCTTCCCGACTAAACCGCACACCGCTGGTCGGCGCCCCTGCACGCTGTAGTGGTTCCAGTTCCATGGTCCAACGGATGTGATGTGCTGCCCATCCGCAAGACATCAGGGGCAGATTCTTACGAGACCCCAGCACTTGTGGCAGTGTCAGACGTAATTGGGCAACTTCTTGTCACCCTGGTATTCCTGATTCCTATTCGAGCACTTGTCAACGAAGATCTCCAACAAAAACCTGGCATGGAATACAGAAAGAATTTGAGATAGAAACATCCACTGCACAGGGTCTCTGCGATTACTGCCTCCCACCGCCTTCGCCGTCTGCTCCTGTGCTGCCTCACCAGCTCAACCCACAGTCCGTGGGCTTAAAGTCGTAATGGCAGAGTCTAGGATGACTAGCACGTGGCCCAGTCGCAGGGTCTGAAACAGATCCCTGTCTGTCATAATTCACAATGCACCCCGCTAGACATGGGATCCCGGAAGGCTGACCGCTCCATATTTGACGTGTTTGGCAACGGTCTTTCAGGAGAAGAAGGAATGCAACAAACTCGCCTTGCCGCTTTCGAAGTATGATGTCTAAAATGACTTTCAGAGAGGGTTACATAGATGATTAGGGGGCGCTCATTATGCACAAGGGTAGATATACCAATCGAGCTAGTAGGGCTTGGTGATTTTCGCCAAGAAGTGGCAAGACCAACAAGGACTCCTTCGCCATTGGAAGTCAGATAGATCAGGACCCGTCTGACGCAGTCGATTCAATGATTCAACGCGTCCCGTATCTGTCGATGGGCACCCGCCCACAAATCGAAACGAACCCTGCCGTCAGCTAACTTCCCAGAACCTGGTTTTGTCTTCGATGAAATGGAAACAATAACGTACGCCGGGATGTCGGCAGATGTGGCACAGATTTGGGGCTTCTTGGATCAAAAGATGAAAGAGCATTGAATAAGTCTTCATACCGACGGAGTTCAGTCATTCATTCATTCCTCCTTCTCCGTCTCTTCTCCCTCCTCCTTCCTTCGTCTTCTTCGAATTCCGTTTCAAGCTCCTCAAAGCTGGGACTAGAAACCATGAAGTTCTTTGCCTTTATTTTGTTACTTTTGGCATGGTGTCAACCGCAAGGCGTGTGGGGTTTGTCCAAAACAGTTGATACCCCCGCGTCCACGGAGACTCCTCCGTTATGCGGCGTAAGTCATGCACCCGGCTGGCTGCTGGAACTACTCCTGGAACTGACATTGGAATAGTTGCAATGCATTCAATCAGTGACTTTGGCAACACAGCTATGCTCCCTCACAAACGCAACTTGTATATGCACCAATGTTGAGCTGAATGAGAAGATTTCACTCTGTGTGCACTCCAATTGCACTGTTCGGGAGGCATTATGTATGTTACTCCTTGCCACTATTGACTGAAAGTTGATGTGCTTACACTGTTGCCAGTGGTTCAAAGCTACTCCAAGCACACTTGCGGCGCCCCTTCACGAGACCGAACTGCGTTAGTATGGGTCACTGGAGTAGTTTTTCTTGTTCTCGGCCTTTTGGCGTTCGTGTTGAGAGTCATGGCTCGACTTTGCTTGGGTGGCCAGTCTTGGGGGCCGGACGACTGGGTTATGTGTATTGCAGTGGTAAGTCAACTCTCCTCCTGCCCTACAGAAATTACCGCGTTACTAAGAGAATGCCAGGGCATGATGATACCACTAAATGCTCTCTCGGTCCCAAGTAGGTCACTCCATGTTCAACTAAAACTTCGTGATGCTGACTCGTCGCCAAGTTTCCCAAGTTGCTTTGGGCAAGGACATTTGGAATGTTCACCCTGACGACGTGACACAATTTCTCTATGTAAGTCTTTTTCTGCAGATGTTCAATCCCTTGACTAACTTCCAGTGACAGCTCTTCTATTGGGACGAGCTTCTCTACCTTGGAGCTTTGCCAATAACCAAAATCTCAATTCTTCTCTTTTACCTCAAAATCTTTCCCAAAAGAGAAATTAGACTTGGCTGCTGGGTTCTTATCGGGCTCAACGTTGCATACTTCATCACCTTCGAACTCATCTCGATCTTTCAGTGCCGTCCGATCGATGGGGCCTGGAGAGCATGGGACAAGGAATACCCGGCAAAATGCAACAACATCAACGTCCAGGGTTGGGCTGCGGCGATTATCAATATTCTCTTGGACTTGGCCACGTTAATTCTTCCGTTGAAAGAATTGTACAATCTTTCGCTGTCCACGAAGAAGAAGCTCATGGTTATTCTGATGTTCAGCGTTGGTTTCTTGTATGCTTGACAAATTCCCCATCCCGAAGAACTGTTTGCTGACAACTTACTTAGTGTCACCATTGTGAGTGTGGTGCGGTTGCATTCGCTGGCCAGCTATGCAACCACCAGCAACGCGACGCGTAAGTTCCTACCCAATGTATCAGTGAGAAAGAATGGAGCTAACGTAATGCCAGAGGACTACGTCGAGGTCGGATACTGGAGCACTATTGAGGTTCCGGTAGGCGTTATCTGCGCCAGCATGCCTGCCATTCGCTCTCTATTCAGTCTGGTCTTCCCCAAGGTGTTTGGCACCACTCAAAGGGGCAAATCAAACTACGCCAATCTATCGAGCCAACAGAAGGATCTCTCCAACTCCCAGAAAGTTTCATCCAAGGGCTCATCAAAACCAGCTATTCGAGTGCTCAAGGAGTTCACAGTCCGGTCGAGACATCGGGATGATGTCTCCTACGTCGAGCATGAACTCACGACAGGACCGTTCACAGACCCCAGTTCACGCCCGTCATCAGAAAAGAAGCCCATTACTCCACATGAATCTGTGTGAGCAATGCATCATGAAGAATTTTTACTGGCCGGCGTTCACTTGCTGTTTCTTACTCTCACTCATTCACTTCCTTCCTTTGACAATATTTAGACACACAGAAGAGGATCGATCCTGCTACTATCTTTCTTAATTTTGACAGCATAAAGCTGCACTGAGATACCACCTACGAACATAGAACATAAACATAACTCATACCGTCATTACGGAAGTTAACACTTGCCTTGAGACTTTACTGCAGTCCGCATTACCCGCCAGGTCAAAGTCCGAGACCCATGTTCCACACCATCCAAATCAAGTCATGTTTCCTTGGAAATGTTTCTCTTGATTAGCCCTACCCCAGACCTAGCTTACGGATACGCTAAAAACCCGAACGCCACTTGACGGGATGACAATCCTCTTATGGCAGTTGACCACTGCGCTAGCCAGTATGAGCGTTGAGCAGAAAACATAAAAGCTCGAACAGTGGAGCAGGGTCGTTGGGACATGGGTCGTTGTCAAGGGTCTCCTCAACGCAATGCCGATCCTTGCCTTGTTTTGCCGTGAAGGAGCTTCACGTCTTTCATTCCTATCTCGTCAAAACTTTCTCTGCAGAGCAAATCCCTCCGCCAGAGTCCCATTCTCATCTTCGTCCCCTACGGAATCAATCTTTCTCGAAAGTTTCAGTGGCACGCGGTGGGGGCTATACCATTTCCATCTTGGGACTTATTGGGGGTCTAGCCCCCCGTTGTATCTGTCATTGCGATCGTCTGCCTTGCAGGTTTAGCCCAGCCGGGGGCTAGGAAGCGGTCCGTAGAAAGACTGCCCGTAGCAATGTCTGAGTCAACCTCCCTGCAAAGCCATTGTCGGAGCGCATATCGGCTCCCTCGCGCCCGCAACCCTTGTTGATGCTGAAGCATCTCGAATTACGCCAACGTCTTCCGACGAACTTAGCATTATGTCTGCGTTGCATCGTCGATATCAGCTCCTTGGCAGCTTTTATGCCAACAACTCCTTTTGATCGCAAGAGGCCTGAATAAACTTTCTGCTGCGTCATCTAAGGTTTCCCGTGGCCTCGATTCCTTGTCCAGCATGGGCTCATGGCTCTCCTCAAGTGACCAAAACTGAATGCGGAAGCCTGTTTAACCTTGTATTCTTCCACTCCCAAATCGGCTCTGTTGACCTTTCCGCAATCCATGTATTGGAGGGTGGCATCGGCACTGAGAATTAACCCACTTACCTTCTGCCCTCGTGTTGACGAATGAGCAGGGCATTACAGGCTTGGGTCTCCTCATCCATGAGGACTCTCGAAGGTTGGCATCCTGGCTCACGAAGAGGGGAAACACAGTTGCCATCGTGGCCGCGGAGCAGTCCACCCAACAGAAGTCGTCATTGAGGACGATCAACATCAGAAGTCGGCATCTTATAGCGGAGCAGGAACACGGCATCTCCTGAGGCCTGTCACCTCGGATAATTCCCATCCCCTAAACTGACAGTTCTCCGATGGGCCTCACTTCCCAAAGACAGGGCTTTGTTACTAGACCACTTATCAACACTGCTTAGCTAATGGCTGACCTCTCCTTTCTTTTCCTTCCAGGCTGTCTCATCACTGCCGTCGGCCCAGAATATCAAGCTTTCAAATGCGACTCATCTTCGGTCTGACTCGATGTTTTGAGACCTTTGTATCCATCTGACCCATTGTCACTCTTTTTTCTCTTCCCAGCAGCTTGTGTTGCCAAGCGCCCAAGATGCGCGTTTCACTCCTTTTCACACTCGTTACTGTTTTGGCCGACTCGGCCTCTTCCATGTAAGTCATCATAAGCAGCCTTCTTCCTGGAGACCCAACCAATTGACCTTTTCATTAGCGCTGTCCCATGGAAGACTACAAGACAACAGCCTCGTCATGAGCCTTTCATTGGTCGACGCGCCGCCAACACCACTCTTGACAACTACGACTATGTCGTCGTTGGCTCGGGTCCTGGAGGAGGCCCAGTTGCAGCCAATCTTGCCATCGCTGGATATAAGGTGTTGCTGATTGACGCCGGAGGAGATTCAGGCGACTCATGGACGGAGAAGGTCCCGGCTCTTCACCTTATGTCCACTGAGTTCGAGGACACAAGATGGAACTACTTTGTGAGTCATCTAAGTACGCAGAGAGCGCGATAGAAAGTGCCTTGACTAATGTCATGTAGGTCAACCACTACCCTGATCTCGAGCAACAGAAGAGAGATTCCAAGATGACGTACGAGATGCCCGACGGCAGTTTCTACGTCGGACTTGATCCTCCAGCTGGAGCGACCCCTCTCGGTGTCTGGTATCCTCGCGCCGGAACTTTGGGAGGCTGTTCTCGCCACAACGCTCTCATTACCATCAATGCTCATGACAGCGATTGGACCAACATTGCCACCCTCACCGGCGATGATACCTGGAAGCCAGACAACATGCGTTCGTACTTCCAAAAGATCGAGAAGAATATGTACCTTCCATCAAGCATCATCGGACACGGGTACAGTGGATGGCTTGGTACCTCGCTCACTTCTCTGTCACTCGTGGTTGAAGACCAAAAGCTGCTGTCGTTGATTATATCTGCTGCTACTGCCATGGGAAAGAGCCTTCTTGGATTAGTGCTCAGCACTGTCACTGGTCTTGGCCAGGTCCTCCTTCGTGATCTCAATGCTCCTGGTCAGACTAGCAAGACTGGATTGTACCAGGTTCCGCTTTCGATGACTGATTCTATCCGCGGTGGTCCAAGAGATCTCATTTTGGATACTGCTAACGCTGTCAATGCCGATGGATCGCGCAAATATCACCTTGATATCAAGCTCGACACTCTCGTAAGTTTCCTTGAACCAGAGTTCCATGAAACCTGATTAATCGTTTCATTCACTAACCTTCTTTAGGTTACCAAGATTCGATTTGATGAGAGTGGTGACAAGCCTCGCGCGGTTGGTGTCGACTTCTTGGAGGGCTCTAGCCTTTACCGCGCCGACCCCCGCTCGGGATCTGCTTCATCGACGGGCTCTGGTAGCGTTGATGCCACTCGTGAGGTTATCATCTCCGCTGGTTCTTTCAACACACCTCAGCTTCTGAAGCTCAGTGGTATCGGTCCGAAGGCTGAGCTCGACTCTTTCAAGATTCCTGTTGTCGTTGATCTCCCAGGTGTCGGAACCAACATGCAGGATCGCTACGAAGCAACCGTCATTGGCAAGACCAATAGCGACTTTGTCATCACAAGCAAGTGCACCTTTCTGGAGACGTCTCCCGATCCTTGCCTCGAGGACTACCAGAACGGACTTGAGCCTATCACTAAGGGTGTGTACGCCACTAACGGCATCGCGATTGCCGTCATCCTTAAGTCTTCTGTCGCCGAGAACGAGCCCGACTTGCTCATATCCGGTGCACCGGCCAAGTTCAAGGGCTACTTCCCCGGATACGCCTCCGACTCGCTCGCGGACGCACAGCACTGGGCATGGATCATTCTGAAGGCCCACAGCAGGAACAATGCCGGCACCGTGACCTTGAAGTCGACTGATCCAAGGGACATGCCTCTCATCAACTTCAACTACTACGACACGGGCGTCAACAGTAACGGAGAGGCCGACAAGGATCTTCAGGCTACCTACGAGGGCTTCGAGTTCACCCGAAAGGCGTTTGACAGCCTCATCCCGCTCGACGGCAGCTTCCCCGAGGTTTGGCCCGGTACCAACACCTCCACGGAAGCGGACGCCAAGCAATTCCTCAAGGACGAGGCATGGGGACACCACGCTTCGTGCACTTGTCCTATTGGCGCTGACGATGACCCGATGGCTGTTCTTGACACCAACTTCAAGGTTCGCGGTACCGAGGGCCTCAGGGTTGTTGATGCTAGTGTTTTCCCCAAGATCCCCGGATTCTACATTGCTTTACCTTTGTACGTTGTGTCGGAAAAGGCTAGCGATGTAATTATCCAGGAAGCCAAGGCGTCATCATCCTAAGAACTCCATAGCCATTCGATATTACTTTCAGGGATTTCCTCCGCGAATTACAACTTCGTCCCAGCGCGCGTACAGGTCTTGGCTTTGAATAGATTAATATTCTAGATTAATAATACAAAGATACCACATTCATTTCAAAACCCTTTGTCACACTGTTATGCGACGTGATTTGACGCGAACACAAACCAACATGAAAGAAGCCCATGTGACGTTCGTGTCGGATTGGAAGTCCAATTCGACCTCGAAGCAAGGGGCCCGCGCACGCAGGGACCACTTAAAACCCCTACTTATGAGAATCGCGGCCTGCCCAACCTCCGGTTGGAACCTCCCTTTTACACCTTACGCAGAAGTTAAGATAGATCTATTGACCTCTTCGTCAACCCGCGGTTCGAACCGACTACCCTGTGATAGGGATATCAACAGTTCGAGAGTGAACTAAGTGCCCACCTGGCAATTGGATAATGTCTTTGGAAAATGGCAGAGGGATCGGAGCCGGGATCATCGCTGATTTTGGCATTTATAACCAAATGGTATTCTGCGGAGAACCCTTAGCCTGCTTATGTTCATCATATTAACTTTTGAAGTTGACAATGATATGCCGTTCAAGTGGTCAATTTGAGTCTTGAGTGAAACAATCCGATCTTGGCTATAATAGTAAAAACACGACGTATTAGTAAGTTGCGCATGTAAAATACATGAAGATCCATGCCGAACTAGACATCAAGAGTAGAATGAGATATCAGTAAATTGATCAGGGGTCATCCACTAACAAAGTATCTAGGAGCATAGGGCCAAGTCAACCTTTCGAAAGTTACATGTATTCTGTACTTAAGGTATGCGAACTGCTGACGATGACTTAAGCATTCTGAGTTACAGATAAGGTTAACTGAACAGAGTCAATATTTGAACCCAAACGTGTGGGTCTAAGTATTTGTAGAGGCTCAAGGGATATCATGGCTGAAGAACCTCAATCCATGTTTGGGAAAATTGCTCAGAACTTGCAGTTGACCGTAACCTAGCTAAGTGCATTGAGATTAGCAGGCGGATATC